ATTGGTTCTTCCTACCCAGGAACAAGGGATGTCTTTCCATTTTCTTATATCCTCTTCAATCTCTTTTTTCACAGTGTTGTAGTTCTCAATGTAGAGGTCTTTTGCTTCCTTCGTTAGATTGATTCCTAGATATTTCATTATTTTTGGATGCTATTGTGAGTTTAGTTGTAATATTTACATAGGCTGCAAATTTCTCTTTTCAACATACTAAGCAGTATCCTTTGGCCCAGTCTTTGCTGTTGGACAAACACATTTTTCATGAATTATTAAAGAAACCGATCATTACCTTGAATATCTAAGGGTTCAAGGAGCTCACACTCTGGCACATTGCTGATCTCATTACAATCTCTGTTTGCACATAGTGTTGATGTACGTGTGCAGGTGTATGTGCAACGGTGTTTGTGAACATGGACATATCTCCACCCATAGTTTATCTATATAACAAGATAAGTGATAAGCATAGCATATTCATCCCATCTGTCTCTGTCTCTGTGTCTCTCTTTCTCTCTCTCTCTCTCTCTCTCTCTGTCTGACTCTCTCTCTCTCTGATCATTGTCATAACCGAATTACTGTTTTATGCCTAAATTAGAGTCTCTTCTCACGCTCCACACATAATCTCACTTACTCCAGCCTACCTGCTCTACTTCCCTTTCCCTTCCATGGGTGATCACCATGTCCTTGTATCTCCACTGATATTCACCTACCTGTCCATGGATTCTATTAATTAAATGCAGCTGGGATGCCACCTTACCCAGAAGTCTTTGCTGACCTCTTTCTCCCACCAGCTATGGTCCAGATAACCCTCCAACGGCCTTCACTCAAATTCAGTTTGGACCTGTCTGGGCACTTTCCATCTTTTCCATCAGTGCTTGGCCCTTTGACTGCAAGGGTTGGCAGTTTTCAGTGATAAACAGGGAGACTGGCTTGTTTACCACTTCATCCCTACACCTGGGCTCCGGCCTAATGTGTTAGACCTCCAACAAATGTTTTGGGATGAATGTTCATGACTAACCAGGAAGTTTAACCTTCTTTATCCTTTTATCCTCAGGTTTTCAAACTTACAAAATGAAGCTAAACCTCTCATTTTATAACCCTTGCACAAGAACTCTACAAAATAGTGCTGAGTGTCATATTTTTAGTTATTAATAAAAAGGAAAAAATTCCCAAAGTTAACAGAAAGGAAAGAAAATATCCAAATTTTAACAATGTAGTCTACTTTTGCTAAAATTCCTGAAGGGATCATTACAAAGAAAATTATCTCCCCAATTATATTTTATTTAAAAGTGACATCAAGTATCTTTAAAAACTTTTCTCTGTACTATAATTTTTACTCCTAACTCAGGTGTATGTTGTTCTTTTAAAAAATCAAAATGTTTGGGTATTTCCTGAATTCATTCTCTACATTCTGTTCAGTGCAGGCAGCCAGTTGATTAGAGTTTACAGCTCACTTCCCAGTGTAACAACCAATCAAACTTCTTAAAATGTAAACCTAGATCTTTGTAATTTATCTTCCCCTCCAGGAGCACTGTAAGGTAGAAAACAAATTACAACCTACGGTTTTCTTTGTATGTTGATCTTTTTCTATTCCAGTTTGATGTGTTATTTTATGCACTTATCTGCTGAGAAACACAAGGTGTGAAATTACACTTCAGGTGTGAAAACGGCTCTGTCTCAGAAACAAGGCTCTGCCCTTCAAACTCTTCTATGGAAAAAGCTGTCAGAAAATCAACAATGGAGAATTGAATTTGTGTTTCCGAAGCTGTACAGTTTCATGATTCCTAAAGGAAAAGTTCAATCCAGGATCCAGACTGCTCCAGCAACTCTGCTGCCAGTCTTTGTAATGGGAATTGAGTTCATCTTGCAAATAAAGACATGCTCACCTCACGAAGAGTAATTTCACGTTTTATTCTGTCACAAGATTGTCTTCTTATTACAAGTTAAGCCACTTACTACCAAACCACCATCACCAAGTTTGGGTTTTATATATATATATATATATATATGAATCAGAAAATAATTTTATAAGCAATCTAGTCAGATACCTAACCAAAAGAAGGGAAGTATAGCTGATTATTCTAGTTTAAACAGAGTTTTCATCACCAAAATAATGAGCTTACTTAAAATCCAGGACAGAGTCCATGCCTGTCAAATGCCGCTAGTGTGGAATAGTAAGAGAGCACGGCAGGGTCTTGTGGGGTTCAGTGACTTAGTCTAATGAGCACCCAACAGAATGGATGTAGAAAGAGTCCAATTAAGTGAATTTCCAATTTAAATGAGCTTTGTCTTAATTATTTGGAAATTGATAACAGTAGCTATAAAAGCAATACTAAGCAATATTTCATCTTCTGCTCATGATTTAGAAACCTTTACAGTATCTTTAATAACTCAGAGCCATTATCAAAATGCCAAATGGGTCATAATCCCTTAATAGTCCCATCATCTGCTTTATTGGTCACCTATCTCCTCATAAAGGAAGATGTCACATGTACCAAAACATTTATAATAGTATATAACCCCCAATTTATCATGGCATAAAGGATGTCATTTGGAACTCAGAAGGCATTTTTGAGAAAGGACGCATACTCCATGGGTAGTAGCCCAGCCCATACAAAAGGCCCACTCATTCACAGCTTAATGTTTTATCCACTGTCTTACAGACTGAGTCTCCAGAGTTAGGGTACAACATACTCTGATTTTCTGGGAAGCAGAGCATTTAATCTTTCCATCCTTTTAAATTTATTAATACTACAAAGCATTTTAAGCATATATAAGAGAATAGTGAATAATATCACACAAATCAACTTGGGTAGTTAGGTAGTATTTGTTACTGATCTTTTATATTCTCCTTTCATTTTTCAAGAAATAAATAATATAATTGAAGATCCTTGAGTATGCCTCCTTGAACATGTTCAAATTCTCTTAGATTTGGAGCTCACTTCCATGTATGTTTTTAGATCTTTACTACGTTAACAGATGTAAATAAATATAGCCAAGGGCCGGGGATTTAGCTCAGTGGTTCTGCCGCCTGCCTCAAAAATGCAAGGTCCCGAGTTCGATCCCCAGTACCAAAAGAAAAAAACACAAAAAAAACTAATAAAATAAATATAGCCAAAATATATTCAATAGCATTTTGTACATGAAAAATATTCAACATTGTATGTCTTCCTGAAACTTGTTTTCATTCAGCATTAAATTTTTTAATATTGCCCCTATATATGTAAATTTGTGATTCATTTATTATGTTATTCCAATGAATTAGTAAATCACAATATTCTTACCCATTCTCTTAATTATTGGACATTTGTTTATAGTAACCAAGAATTAAAAAGACTTCAATGAACATTTT